CATATATATTCTTAGCAAGAGTGGTCTTACCAATTCCACCCATGCCAACAATGGGGATGATCTGGCGACTCGATTGTTGTCCAGTCAGCTTATCCAAGGCTTCAAGCAAGATATCATCGAGACCCACCATGGCAGCTTGCGTTCGGGGAGGAGATCTCGGCCGGCCAGCTGGCGTAGAATAATTTCTTTCCACCTGCGTTCTTTTCTGCTTCATAATCTCCACAAGGTCTCCCTTGATCAAATCCAAGTCTTGCATCACTTTTTCTAGACCATGATACAATTCAATGGGACTTAATAAATTTTCTTCATGACTCGGGGTCGGGGTTTTGCATAAGCCTCGAAAGAATCTAATGAAAGTGATGAATTTGCCCTCATTAGTGGCATTTGCAGCTTGAATTTGATGGACAATATGGGATTCGATTAAATCCTCTGCTTCATAAGCAGCGTCGGCTATACCACCCTCCAAACCCTCTACATCAATTGCATGATTCTCGAGAAACTCTTGCAAGTAAATGAGTTTTTCGGTAAGGAATTGAAGCTGTGTAAAGTGGAGAGAAATTGGAGGGGAAGGATGAGTTTGGATTTGGTCTATGCTATGCTTTAGAGAAAGCACAGCTGCATAAGCCGCCATCTCTAATTAATTCAGCTCTATTTGATGCTTCGGAAAATGAAGATGAGAATATAGTGATTATGATTTCTCACAAGATTTGGATAGATATTGGACGAATGGACGGAGAATGTAGAGTTGGGGCCCACATGTATTGCTTTATAATTTTATCCTATTGCAAGATAACTATAACTAGTACGTGGCCCGTGCGATGCACGAGAAAATAATATTTTGATTGTATTATAAATTAAATAAATAAATAACAATAATCATGATTTACGCATTATTTATAAATTAAACCAGGTTGGACACAGTCCGACCGGATGGACCGAGAACCGGTTTATAACCGATTTAGTGCGCTTGAATAAAATATTTGCTATCGAATCCGCCAACACCAATATGTTGGACTGGTAAGATCGATACGATTTTCTAAACAAATTTTGTTACATGAAAAATTATTTTAAATAAAATTACATATTTAACTAAAATAGAGATTTATAAATTGTTTATCAATTAGTTTAAACATTTGAATTTATAAATTGTTTAGATATTTAAGTAACACTTTATATTTAAATTTATTACAAAAAGTATTATGTATTAAAATCCGAACAACCACAAGACGGCTCAATTCTGAAAACCTTATATTTACCGTACATTAATAAAAATGATAATCAAATAAATATTTTGTTCACATAAATAATGATAAAATGATA